GGAATGGGGATGTGAGGTCAGAAAAGATTTATAAATGAGGGAAATTATAGCATGTTTGTGTACCAGCAGGAATGATCAGAAGAGGAAAGTTAATGATGCAAGAGATAAAAGTGCACTGCAAGTGGCATTAATGAGTAATATTGACCAGGATTTCTCGAACTTGGCATTGTCGACATTTTGGGTGTTATCATTCTTTGTTGTGGGAGCTGTCCAGTGCATCATAGGATGTTTAGCATTACCCCTGGCCTCAACTCTCTAGATGCTAGTAGCACTCCCTCAGTTGTGACAATCAAAATATCCTTCCACATTGCTAAATATATCCTGGGGGGGGGGGGCCAGAAAGAGGCAAAATTGCCCCGGATTGAGAACCACTCTTACAGGCTGATGACATGAGTTTCAAAGCTAGAGTTGTTTTACGGAAGAGGGAAAGTAAAGGACCTTGGAGTATCAAGGAAGACACCTAATACCAGTCCCAGGTCCAATGGTATAAGCATGTGAGAGATTTAAAAAAAAAAAAAAAAAAGTTAACCATCTGAGAAGGTTGCAGTTCATTCAGAGCAAGAAATTATGTATAGGGGAAGTTTAGAGGGGATGTTCAAAGTAGGAGATTTTGCTGATGAGTTCCAGAGATTATGATAGAAGGGTTTCAGGAGTGGGTAAGAATGAGAGATGAAATCTGAGAGAGGTCTGGGGGTAGAGAACTATACAGGGATTAATGAGCATAATGAGATAATCCTGATAGTCTCAAATCATATTTAGTTGGTGGGGCCCTGTCTGTTGGGTGGGAGCAAGGGGTGAGGGTTTTAGTAAAAGCATATAGATCAGGGGTTACCTCTCCACTCCTGCCAGCACTGATGTGGAGGTTATCTACAGTGCTGAGATATCTAGGGATCCTTTCTAATTCCTGGACTTGAAGAGTCCCTGGGCTCCCTCTTGACTCCCCTGAATGGGGGAAATTAAAGTACAGGATACTTTGAGTACAAGACACATGTACAAGTAATTGCAGTGTAAAGGAATATGCTCTGAGTCCCCATTGTCAGAAGAGAAAATTGGGAAACATACCTTAGGGCAGAGATTCTTCAAAACCAAGCAAGACTAATACTGGTCCTTGATGAGGTTTTAACTGTTCCAGAATGAAATGAGAATAAAAAGGACTATGAAATGAGTTTTTATATTGGGTTTTATAGTA